ATGCAAGCCAGAATTTCATTACTTATTGCATATATACATATATAAATAGCAAAAAACTAGAAATGACCACAATTCCTGCTCAATTAGTGACTAATTAAATAAATTATGGCCCAATGAGACAATGGAATATTATACAGACATAAAAAGAACAGGGGGCTCTCTGTCTACCAATATACAACCAATGCTGACATAAAAAGAAAGAAATTACATAAATGAAAATAGAATATTTTGTAAGGATACATAAAAAACTAGCAACTATGGTTGCTTCTTAACAGTGAAACTGAGAGCAGAGGCAGCAAGCAGTATGACTGATATTATATTCTAAGTCATGTAATGTATTATTTGTCAATTTTTTAAAAATTGCAAAAAGATGCTCACTGTTGTTGTAGATCCCATACAAAAGCCATCACTGAGATGACACACTGGTATAGAAAAAAGAATCCAAGAAAATTTAGGAAATCAGCAAAAATATGAAACACTTAAAATGTTCATGAATGGCTAAGAGATGGCTCAGTAGTTGAGGCTCTGTAGTTAAAGCATTTGCTGCTCTTCTAGAAGACTTGAATTTGGTTTCTAGCATCCACATTGGGTGACTCACAACCACCTGTCATACCAGCTCGAGAGGCTCCAATACCCTCTTCTGTCTTCCACGGTACCCCCTACACATGATATATATATATAGACATACACACATAGACATAAATAAAAACAAACTTTTAAAAATGTTTCTAAGGACTCTGACCACTACACTTGATATGAAGCAGCTTAATGGATGCATTTTCCATTAATGAACACTTTGATTGAGAGAGTTAAAATATGCTTATGTGTGAAACATTTCAAATGTGGAAACTAGTTATTAGGCTAGGATAACAGAATTGTGAACTACTTTAAAAAACATTAACATTATAATGATAGTATAATTATTTTTAGCCTTAATTACGTTGTACTGAAGTCATTTTAAATAACTTCTAGTCAAAGGATACAAATTACTTCCTAGGATATTAAACAATCTTCAAGACAAAGGTCAGAAACCTTCACAGATTCATGAGAAGAAACACAAAAAGTCTGAAGATGAATGAAAACCTAAACTTCAGATACTGAAAAAAGATAGGGCTGGAGAAGGTCAGCCAGCATGATTATTGGCGAAGTCCTAAAGATTGGAGAAAGTAGTGAGTGTTAACGACCAGCAAAGACTCACTCAGAACAATGCAGGATGAAGTGTGAAAATTATCAAGAATATTCAGGGAGTTCTTATTTAACTTTTAAACTTTTTTTTTTTATCTCAGAAGCATGGGAGATTTTGGGCTGCTCAGGGAACGCTGGTGTGAGAGAAGAAAGCCAAGAGAAATACGAATTCCAAAGACCGCTTGTCTTTGGAACCTCAAACCTGCTCTGATCCCAGGGAGGGATTTGATTCTTCCTCTCAGGAAGGCACTGACAACACCGCTCAGCAAAGCTGGGCCATAAAGCACAGAGAGCTAGGAAAGAGGCAAGGAAGCTGGTAGAATACCTGCGAAGTACCCTTCCAACGTGTGTTCATTTTCTGTGATCAGTGACATTCCTATGTTTTAAGATTGGCCTTGGGTTACTATTCTTCATCAGAGGAAATAATGCATGTAAAATGTTTCAGAAACTATAAAGAGCTACACACACACACACACACACACACACACACACACAATGGTATAAACACACAGAACATCACCATAACACACACACACACACACACACACACACACACACAATGGCATCAACATCCTGATCATCACCATCATTTTTAAGGAACTGTATGTAGGATCTATGATGAAAATTCAGGTATATATAACAAATATAGTGGCTAAGGTAAAGATGAAAGGAAGTAGAGATCTTAACACTCAAAACTACTAAGAAGAAACTCAAGTTGTACACCATGCACCTAAGCTGAGGCATAGAAGTTCTCATTAATACAATCCAATGAAGATGGTGGGCTTGGGACCCTGGACTTGAGATAGAAGTATGTCATGTCTGCTAAGGACTGTAATGCATTTACTATAGGCTCCATTAGTGGAGACATGGTGTCCATGCATCAGGTCTTTTGCAGGGAGGCATGGCATTCATCTGTCCCCTTTGGGGGATAGCACATGCAGGCCTGCTGGTCGTGTTCTGGTGCTGTGCATATGAGGCATACACCCCGTGCAGCGGTCAATATGGTTGATTTTGTCATGAATGGAACAGCTAAAGTAGGTAGACATTTTTCAGCCAGGCAAGAAACTACTGATAATGCATTCTATGATGGAAAACCAAGCATTCTCAAGAATGAGCTGCACAGACTGGCATGGGAGAACCTGAGTGTTACTCATCAAAGCCCACACTTCTCTACAAGGACAGAGCCCCACGTGTGGAAAGGTTTAAACTGAGGTGGTAGGTGTAGGTCAGGGATGTAACTTGGGAGGGGAAAGAAGTTCAGAGCCTAAGAGTCCCTTTTCCTTCTACCATCTGGGACTAACTGGTCTCTTCCAACATTCAATCCAGGTGTGCAGGTGCTGTGTCAGTGAAGCAGAAACAAAACGAACTGTAGATGGCAGCAATTCTGTCTCCTCTTCCCACCCAGCAGCCCAGGCTAGAACATGGAGGCCTGTGTTGCAAGAACACACCTGCTGAAGGAGCCATGCTGAGCTCTGAAGACACAGCCTGCAGCTTGCAGTGCAGGTAAAGGGAGCACAAGGCAACTTTTTGATCCTGGGCTTTTGTCCACTGACAAAAGGTAAAGGCTTCTTCCACTCCTGTCTACTGTGCACAGGGCAGACAGGCACCTGACCACTAAAATGCCAGCAGCATCACAGTACCCACTCCACATTTGTATGCAGATACAGAATCCAGTGCACAGAGTTAGCAGAGGGAAAAGTCTGCCTTAGTACCAAAATGTGCTTGAAAAGCTCTTTCAAGCATTGTTACAGAACAGAACACTGTGGAAGGACAGTCCTTTATTTAGAGCAAATTTGTCTGTGAAAATCAATATGTCCTTCCTAGCTGTTATAGAATGAAAAAGTATGTCTCTAATTACTGTGCCCAAACCTTACCCTTCAGTGCTGTCCTGTCCGTGCCATGTAACAGCCATGTGTTGCCAAGCACTGCCCCTACCAAAGCATTCAGTGCCTCCTGAGTGCTAATTTTAAAAACTTGCCCAGCTTTCCAATATGCCTCTATAGTCTGTTTTCAGGAACTATTTTTGTTTTCTCTTCACAGCATGCCTGGCAGGATCTGAGTAGCTGTCTCCTGGTCCCCACAGCTAGGGTAAGGGTCTGCTTTCTCTACCTCCTAATTTCCAACTTGACTCTAGTACAAAGCACTCTTTACAGACATTCCATCAACCCATTATTCTTCCTTTACTCTAGAAAAGGGGTTAAAACAGCTGAAAATGTTGTCAAATCCTTATTCTGACAGGCATTCTATTATGAAATTTTCTCCCCTGCTAAGCAAAAAAGCAAAGCAATAGTGTCCTTCGTGAATGGGTATCAGCCATAGAAACACCTTTGGAAGGGAGAGGCTGTGTGGGATGAGTCAAGGTGAGACAAGTCAGAAGGATCTTCTCAATTACTTTGTAGAGCAGAGGGATTGCTAAGCCAGACAGTTCCCACAGGACACAGCATTTCTTGCCAGGTTGGTACAAGATTAAAACAATGATTACGATGATGTAAGAGTTTCATCTTACACATCCATGAGCTACAACTGTTTACTAACACACACTGATGGGGACAGGATTCCATGAACACTATTATAAACTATCAAATTCCATTCTCACATTTGGAACAGAGCATTTAAAACTGTTCAGAGCTGCCCCCAAAGTCAGAGGAAGGGGTGGGGGTCTACATTTACTTCTGCAGTGTTTAGAAGGCAGAAGGGGCAAAAACTACAAATGCTTCACAAATTGCTTGACAAGGTGGCATCCAGTATCTCCTATAAGTCAAGAAATTGAAAAGGATAGGCATTGGGGTAATGATTAACACTACCTGTTGTCCATTTTAAGGGTGACACACAGATCTCACAAAAATTCCTGATGTATTACATGAGATACAGGATCTCTGCAAGGGATGCCACTGGACTGGCAGGGCAAAGCTGGTACCTGGGACAAGTTCACCAGGTCTCAATGCCTCAGAGTAGCTGCTGTGCTAGAGCAGTGATGGCCCATCCGCAGGCTTTCTACATCCTATACTATGGGGCTGTTTACTGAAGTCTTGAGAAAACATCTAAGGGAACACCTTGACATTGAACCCTAAAGTCAGACATGTCTGGACAACAGAGCATGGTTGGGATGGGGTTGGGGTAGCAAGGGAACTTTCCAAAGCACTCTGCTTAAAGAACTATAACTTAGTTCTTTAATTGGCTTTAGTCTCTGTGCAAGGCAAGTGTGGGAAGGCAGAGAGGTCTGCCAGAAGGAACATCTGAGAGTGGGACACTATTTTTCATGGGTAGTTCTTTCTTTATAGGAGACAAGAGGCCTGTGGGAGGAACACAGCCATGGTCCTGGATCCAACCGACAGACCTAGAAGAGGGAGTGGGTCCTCTAGGGCCGCTCAGCGGTGACCGGTCAGAGGCCTCATTCTCCTAGTGAGCCACTGCTGCCCTCAGTGAGCCTGACATCTACCAACAAAGGGGGCGGGTTTCAAGCCCTTTCCGGGAGAGGCTCCCTTACCATATGTGCACTGAGACCAGAGTTTGGGTGTAAATTAGGAAAGGCTAAATCCATGCCTTAGAGGCGGATGCAGCGTCACCACCGCAGAAGGCGGCAAAAAGCCATGGCTTCATTAACACCCAAGTAAGAGCATCTCCTTCGGGGGGACAGGAAGGAACCCAGTCCATGCCAGACTGCAGACAAGCTAGCAGCCCCTGCGGCAGGGATTTCAGGCTCCCCCACAGGCTGGGCTTGGAACTCTGCAGAGAGAGATGAAGCGCAGAGCGACCGAGATCAGGGAAAAGGGCTCACGCAAAGGACGCGGGGACACAGCGGCCGTGGCCCTTACCTTGCTGACCACGTTCTGGACGAGGCCTGAGCGGATGCCGTAGTCCCAAGCGTGGCAGTCACAATTTGAGTCGTTGTTCCCCTTGCCTGGAGGGGACGGGAGGGGTGGTGTGTCGCTGCTGTTGACCGGGTTGCCCGCGACCCCCCAGGAGGCAGTGGAGAAGGGAGTGACCGGGGTACTGGTCCAGTTGCCCAGGTCGCCCCACTGGCCGGTGACAGTGGCACCCGCCAGCTCGGTGCCTTTGCCGGCCCCGCGGCACCAGAAGTTGGGCTGGTCCAGAAGGAAGGAGTCCGAGAACTGGCTGAAGCCAATGAACAACGCGGGGATCCAGGTGAGCACCACCAGGGTCTTCTGGTAGCCGCCGCCCAGGCCCCCGAGGAAAGGCAGCACCGAGCCGTCGTAGTCCAGCAACAGGAGGCTCGGGGCGGCCGCCGGGCAGCAGCTCGAATGCTGGCCGCCGGGGTGCAGCGCCGGCAGCGGCTGGATCTCCGCGCTGCCGCCGGCACCCCCGCGTCCCCCGAGGGGTGCAGAAGCTGCCGCGTCCC